CAAACTATGTTTTTCTATTTCCTGCCTGCTGACTCATCTGTCAGTTTTCACTCCGTCTTTGCTGTTCCCAAATGAATCATATACAGGGGTCCCTTGGATTTCTGTAAATGTCAAGTGTATATCTGAATGTCAAGTAGAATAAGACCATGATGAAACAAGTCTCATATGAGCCATAATTTCCTTGGAGCCAGACAGGAGTTAGCAATGTGTATAAATATGCATCCTGTGGCATGTCATGGCTAGGGCTAGCGTCGTTAGTATTAACGTTAGCTTGCCCTGCATCTGACTATGAACGTATTAAATGAAGCAGCACAGGAGGGGGAAAAGCTCAATTGAATCCTCTCTGGGGGCGTTCAATACTGACATGGCTGTTTTCATAAACTCTTATTATTAAAAGCATTAGGTACTTTTCAGACATAAAATAAGTTGATGTTCTACTTGGCTTCATGAAGATGGTGACAAAGAGACCCATTGTATATATGTGGGATATTTAACATACACCAAGATTGGACGGTACATCACGTGACATATCCCAGCCCATTGTGGGCGAAGGCAGGGGACACTCTGGACAGGTCGCCAGACAGACAACCAATCACACGCACGACCACATCTATGGACAATCACGAACCAACAGTTAACCTCAGCAAGCCTCGGCCAAAATGCCAACCAGGGATCTTCCAGCTGTGAGGCGACAGTGCTAACCACTGAGACACCACGCAGCCCCTGGACAAAATGATGGATGTTTATTATTATTAGTGCATGGTGGACATCAGTGATAGGGTGCTATTACTGCAAAGTGTATATGTCCCTGTGTGTAAACATATGTCATGTCGAAGATTTAGTTTAGTTATGAATATGAGATTGCAGCAATAATGCACTGAGGGTTGTTACGTACTTAATTACCTCCATGAGTCGTTGCTCTTCTGAAGTTCCAACGGCTCCATTAAATCCCTTAGTGAATGTTGATAAGTTAACTTTAGGGTATGAATGTAGTTTAATTAATTTGATTTATTTCATCATCAAAATTAGTTTTCAAATTGAATTTCATTCAACTGTTAGTGTTTTTTTACTGGTAAACACACCAGTAGAGCTATTTTAGTGGCTCATATGTTCACGCCTGTCCTCTCTTTTGAAACTTTCATCCTATCTCCATCATTTTTATTTTTCTATCCTTTAATCTGTGTCCACAACATTTTTTATGTCTTCCCTCCTGTCTTCTCTCTTCCATCCCTATCTTCTCTTACTCCAGTGCAATCTTTCTTCTTTAACCTTCATCACCCCTGTCTTGTTCCTTAGTTTTACTTTTCTTTCCTCAGTTGTTTTTCTTTCAGCATACCTCCATTTTTACTTTGACTAAAACATACATGCAGCATTTTACTTTGCTCTATGCTTCCCTCACTGCGTCCTCCTCCTTTATCCCCTTCTCTTTTGTCCTCCATCTCTCTCCTTGCTGGGTCTTTCTCAGCTTGTGTTCATTAGTTATGTGGATAGAGGACGGAGATCGCTGTGTGACACTCGCTGTATTTGGTTTTCAAATTCTGCTCTGTGATCGATTGATCTTGTCCCGTGTGATAAAGCAGAAGTACTTTGGTATGCTGCAACTTGCCTGATCAGAGCAAACTGGCTATGAGTTGTTGTCATTGTTCTTTTCCTCATGCTTTAATGCAAAGACATATGTGGATTTAACTATAGCTCTTCTTACCTGCTCAACTAATGAACCTCTGTTTAAAAGGCATGTTGGGCAGGCAAATTATAGAACATTTACAGCAAAATGAAACTTATGAGAGCAAATAATAAATACACCATGGTTCAAAGTTTATTAATATGCAGTGAAGCAAGTTGTTAGAGGATGCATTCAGTATGTTATAACTGCAAAAAAATATATATAAATAGCAAAATATGAAGAACCAATCATCTTTTCTAGTGTTTGTAACACCTGCAGGCACTTGGAAAAATGTTTGGGGTTTTTTCACATTTTTAATTTTGATTTCTTTTCTCCTTCTAGTCATAGCTGTGCTGTTTCTATAGACATGTAGGCCTCAGGGTTAGGGTTAGTTAAAAGTAAAGGATTGACCCACAGTGAGTAAAAATGTCACAGAAGCAAAAATCGTTTAGAAACTGGTTGGGGTTCAGAGGTGTAATGATTGTATCATTATTTTAAGAACTAAACTACATCAGTAATAAACTGCAGTATGACCTACTGTTAGATACCAGAATATATATTTTTGTTTTCCCGTTGGTCCATATAGATGAGGTGATTGTCTAACTAATCCTTTGGACAGTTTTGGTGAATTCATTCATGACTTAATTGCTTTTAAATTGAATCATCTTCAGTTCACAAGGTGAAAAACTTTGTTAAATGTTTGTACCTACAACGCCCTTATTACATAATGCAATCTTTAACCTGAGTGAACTTTATATGGTAAGAGTTTGCCCAAACTGTCATTGTACTTATTTCAGAAGAAAAACCACATACCTACACCTTCACTGTTACTTTGTTCTTGTTTCTTATCACATTCTTACAAAAGCATGACGTATAGCTGTGTACCAAGGTCTTGACATCTGTGAAAACAGTGATTGAGCACTTGTTTGCTTTTGTGTTGCTTTTGTTTTGGCACAAGGACCATTAAAGAGCTCCTATAGTTTGGCAAATTCCTTGAAACTTGCTGTGTGCAGCATTTTGGTACCAAGTGGGAGGAGAGATTTGTTGAAAGGAATCAGCGTAAAATCAAGTTGTTAGTATTTTGGTGGAAAATATGTCTTGTGTCCACTTTTTTTTTTTTGGCATAGCATTAATCTGCCTTGACTTTGGTGATTTGAGCAACAAGAGCAAACTAAAAACTTGAAGAAAATTCATATACTTGATGGAACAATCTTTGAAATGTAAATTACTATTTTGATTAAACTCTGACTGTAGACATGTCGAAATCATCTTTAAAAATGTTTCTTGCACTTAAAGCAAAAATGTTGGTAAAGCAATCTGTATCTACAAATGAATAAATGATTCTTACAGCAGTTGTTAAAGTAGCTGCTTTACATTATGTAAAAAGTTTGTCATTCTGTTTATTAAACACTATATATATATATGTTCATACACTCAGTGGTCACTTTATTAGGAACATCTGTGAAGTTAAATGCAATCCAGTGTAAGACCTTTGCCATTTCAGAACTGAAGAAGCCTCATGGATGAAGGTGAAACATCTTCAAGAACCAGAAACAGAAGTTCTAAGATGCTCTACAACTATGGATGTCAAAATAAAGAGATTCAGCTTTATATGTATTATTGAGGTCACAGTAAATGGTGACGGTGGACTGGAGTGCTTCATATGTTCTCAAATGTTTTGGTGATCTTTTGGTTCAGTTATGAGCACAAGTCTCGAATGTATTTCAGTGAGATGGCTGCTACTGTCCTTATTTATCTGTCTTCATAACTAACTCCAGTCATCTTTTCACTCTTGTTCTCTCCAGATACCCGTGTCTTTGCATCTCTCCCTCCCAGTCCACATCCATTTGTCAGTTGCTTCCGTCGCCATCTCCCCAGCATGTCGCTGCTGAAGGTCCAGACCAGTAATGTGACCAACAAGACAGACCCAAAGTCCATCAACTCCCGGGTGTTTATCGGTAACCTGAACACGGCGGTGGTGAAGAAGTCGGATGTGGAGAGTATCTTCTCTAAGTATGGTCGGGTGCTGGGCTGCTCCGTGCACAAGGGCTACGCCTTTGTCCAGTACGCCAGTGAGAGGCACGCCAGGGGGGCGGTGATCGGAGAGAATGGCAGGGTGCTGGCTGGACAGACACTGGGTGAGTCGGTGTAATACAGCATGAATTATAGCTCCATCTAATGCAACGGAGATGTGATAAAGGTTTGAGTCTTTTATTTAAGGACATGCTCATGGCAAAAAAAACAAAAAACAAACATTGCTGTTTAATGGGAGTGCTCACTCAAGTTTTATCAGCAGCTTGTGAATCAGTTTAGGTTGTAAAAATATTCTGACTGACATCCAGTGAACATTCTGTGACCAAGCAAACCTCTTTGACAACCTCTGAGCACCGTTACATCTATTTTCTTCTCAAGTGTTTACATATGCTGTCTCCCTCTCCCACCTTTCATTACCATTACTGTGCAAGAAAGTATCAGAGGGGAAATGAGGGTTAAGTGAAGTGTTCCTTTAAGCGGTTGGAGCGCTTTCCTCCATCTGCCTGTTCCCATCGGTGAAGCAGGAAGACATGAGCTGTCTGGGAGCCATTTGTGAAGAGCTCAACTGGTCTATGATCAGTCACTGCTGAGCTGTGAGCACATTTCTTTCATAGCTTCTCTCAGTGCAAATGCATGAATAGGTACAACTGAGAGTGTGTGTGTGTGTTTATGTGTGTGAAAGCGTATTTCAGGTTGCTTGTTCTGGGTTGAAAGGTCAATTGTTGTCTCACTTTTAACACGCAAAAACACAAACACACAAAGTAATACAAGGTACATTTCCCTGATGGCCCCATCCGTGTGTTTGGTTTGGAAAAAGCTGTGACAGCTAAGGGGCTGCTAAGTGATGCTACGCTGCAACTACTGTGTGTGTGTGTGTGTGTGTGTATTTATAGTATAGTAAAACTACCAGGTTGCTACTGTACATAGTGGAGTCTATTGTCCAAAAGACTACAGAAAATCTATCATTAAGTTATGAAAGAAACAACAAACATATTAGAAACTACTTGTGATATTTCCATCTATGTAGTCTTATTTAGTTACGTATCTGCTTATGTGGAAATCTAATGTGGTAAAAAATAAATAAGTCACAAACATAACAGAAAGAACCTGGGGTCCCCTTTTGCAGTGGGACTCAGTGGATGCAGGCTGCAGGTATAAGCCTACCACGATCGCTTCAGCCAGCTTTCTCCTTTTTCTCCACTATCTGCAAGTTACTATTTTTAAAGTCCACTTTGCAATGGGAAACCACAACAATAACCTCTGGCCAGCAACCTACACACTGAAAGTTTTTTCAAGTTATTTTTTTAAAAAATATTTTTTGATGGATCCTCCATTTGATTCAAAGTGCTCGCCTCCTTGCATGTCAATGTTAAACTAAAACAATTCCACCCATCACTGTTTTGAAGAACCACAGAAGACACATCTTTCGCTTAGGTCCACCCAAGACGATTGGGATTGGTTTAAATAAATACAAACAAGCCAGAAGGTGTTCTTCTACCTCTAAAAGAAACAAATACACCTTCACTGTCCACAATCCACTGTTCACTGTCAGAGAATGAAAGCCAGACTGAACCCAAATATCCCCATGACTGTTACAGTTTAGAATGTTATAGCAATCACTCAAGTAGCCTTTAATAGCTGTCATTCAGTCTTTTTCATGCTTCCTATTGCTGTCATAGTTAGCATACTCTATAAGCTACAAGACATTTGCTAGCTTCAATGTGGGCCAGCATTTCTCAAATATGATGGCATTTGGAACAGATATGTGACAGATTAACATTTAACTGCTGCAACTGCAGGTTTGGGAAATAACACCAATCAGCAACAATACTAAACTGACAGCTGAAGTAAATGGCCTTTATTATCTTGTTACATTGCAATGTTCTGTTGGGAAACCTTTGGTCTTGGCAGTCATGTGGATATTACTTCGTCATGACCCTCGCCCAAGCACGCATCCAGATGGCGACGGCACTCCCAGACACCAGCAGCCTCTTGCAGCAGGACAGTGAGCCTTGTCACACTGCAAAAACTGTCAGGACAAACTCAAAGAACATGGCATGAAGAGCCCAATGCATTGACCCTTCAGATCTCAATCTGGTTGAACATCTGTGGGATGCACTGATGAACAACCCCAAACCATGGAGGCCCACCCTGAAACCCACAGGACCCAAAGAATCTGCTGCCAACATGCTGATGCCACACATTCCTGGACATCCAGAGACACCACTAATTCAGAGCTGCTTTGGTAGAAAAAAAGGGCCGTACACAATATTAAGCAGATGGTTTTATTGTTGTGACTGATCTGTGTGTATACTGGTATTAGTTTTATTTGAATGTCTGAGTTATTTTTGCTACATTCTAACTGACGAGATGAGGTTCACAACAAACTTAGTGAGCCTTGTTTTTTTTTACACTGTTTGCGAGACAAAGACAGAGTTTGTGTTCAATAATGTGCCAGCTGGCTCACCTAATATATTTTAAGTTAAACCCTACACTTATTCACAGACAGTTTTAACAGAAAACAGCATCCACACTCCTGTTGTGTAGAGTGATGGAGTCCTCTCACTGATGGTGTGTAATTACACAGGTGCCCTTTTAGATAGGATGGTGCACTATTCACATGAATCAGCATTCAGATTAGACCTCATTAAAGAAAGAATAGTTGAGAATCTTCAATCTGACATTACTTCAGACATAAAAGTCTGAGATGTACAGTAAAACAAGCCCATTGGTCTGGCATAAAACTGGATTATTATGGATAGACCAATCACTAGGATGAATTTTATGAGGCAATCTAAAAGGAAGATAGTGACTTGGCAGGCCTGAGGTCTACAGTAAAAAGCTGCTCCTTTCCTAGTCTTAAATCTTATATCCGGAATAGCTTCCCTCAATTCTAAATGTGATCTCAAACTGGGACATGAATTGCCTTAAATATGATCAACACCATCTGAAAATCAGTCCTAAAACAAATTCAAACTTTCCTATTGGGTTTTCTTGTAAATAACAGGATCATTACTTCGAATGTTTTACCACCACCAGAAAGTAAATTAAATTATTTCACGTGTTCTTTTGAAGTAGGTGGATCTCGAAGTTGATTTAAGTACACTTATTCACTGGCAAAAGTTGGCTAAGCTTGAAGTTTGTATGGTTTTTGTGGTGAGGATTGTAATCAAATCTTGCAATAGCTGAACTTTTCAGTGGTCAAACTTTACAGTAGTTCTTAACTTAATCAATAGTTGTTCACAAATAATGTTCATAGATTTGCCTCGCATATGTAGGCAAAGCCACAGATCATGACACTGAGTAGAGTTATGAAACTAAGACCTGGTGCTTCCTCAAAATGTGGACACGTATTCAAGATATTCACAAAAAAGAAATACAATAACAAAACAGATATACTGGTCTTATTAGCTGCAGGTCTGTAGTCTTTGTGACGTACGTCCTGCTGCACATAGCTCGACTGTCTCATCAGATGAACATGGTCTTCGTCACACGTGTTCTGGCTCAGTTGGGATGAGAATACTTAGAAGGATTTGAGTGTGCTGAGCTGCCTGTACAGAATATTCGACTCAGTGTGTAGTTCCAACTACAGGTTGAAACAGCCCCTTACATATTTGTAACAGTAGAATAATGTCATCACGTCCTTTGTCAATACAGTATGCAAAACACTTTGGCTTTTTGCTGAAGTTGAAAACACAAAGACACCAGTGAAAGCTGAGGGCTCAAAGATACTGACAGCAGCTGTGAGGACTATTGATCTGTAAACTGCTTAGCAAACTGCTTCCAAATGCTGAGATTTGAATTTGTTGATCAGCAAAAGAATGAAGGGTTTTTGGACAGACTGAAGTGACCTGCTGCTTAAAAAAAACCATTGAGGGAGTCGATGGAACATGTTTATGTGTGAGCTGTGTCCAGGGGCTTCCCCCCTAAATGGCAGAATCCTGCAGGTAGAATCAATGAGGCTTATAGAGCAGCAGGTGGACTCTGTGTACGTGTGTGTGTATGTGTGTGTGTATGTGTGTGTGTGTGTGTTCGTACAGTTTTCTTTCCTTAGGTCATAGAGGGGAGGGTCAGTACCTGTTTTGGTTGGATGAAGGTGTGAGTCCTTGCATACTTTGGACTCCTGGCATTTCCACATCTGGCTGCAGTCAGAGGTCTGGATCACTGCCTCAAACACACACACACACACACACACCTTTCCCTTCACAGTGACGTTAAAAAGCTTGAATCTCTTGAGCGTCTCGTAGCTGAAAACTCACTTGTCATCCTCATCCTTACTTTTATTATCCTTGCTGATTCCTCTTCATCTTCTCTTCATCTTCCAATATGTTTTAAAGAAATTACAAACTGTCATCCTGTTTTGATTTTTATGGGGTTTTTTTATATTTAAAACATTTCATTTGATACAAAATACAAGATATATTTTTTTATTACATTAAAAGTACATCATTTCTGGATTGTTGATACGTCCTTTCACAGCTGCCTCTGAAGCCTGTTGAACATAACTGTAACCACAGAAAAATCTCTATTTTGCTGTTGCAAATACACAATACTGTACACTGCATGGAACATAACCGTAGCATCCAGCTTACCATTCAGCCTCAACCCATTTTATGTGCTCTCCACCACAAATATTATGTAAAACCTTCCCATGTTAGCTTGAAGCCATGTCTTTATGCCTCGAGGTAGCAACAAATGGAGCACTGCATTAGTTCAGGCAGAGAATTTAAGTGGTGCTTGTATTGGCGGATTCGCTTTCATTAATGCTTCAGAGACGCTGGCTTATTAAGAGCTGCTCGGCTGCCTATCATATTTATGCAGAAGTACAGCACGGCCGTTACAAACTGAGATTTCTCACTCTGCTCAAACGCTCACGTCGACCGTGTTTGCTGCTGTTTTGCCTTTGAGCACCGCAGCTTCCTTTAATGTGTCTGACATTTTTGGTTGTGCTGTCTTTGTCGAAGTCTGACCAGATAGATTAGATTTAAATGTTCAGTTTCTTAACTTAATATCTGAGTAATTTCTTGACTTTCGAATAACATCATACAACCATTTGTTTGAGACCAACATAAGATGAAAGAGTAAAGTTCTAGTGGTTGCAGAATGAGATACAAACAAGATGTGGCTGCATTTGTTCGACTGTGTTTGTGTATAATCTGATTATTGTTATGGGGGCTTAAACTTAAAGCACTGACAGTTTCACACTGACTTTATCATGACATCTTTAATGAGAACTGTAACCTGTGTTGCTTTTCCTGCTACTTTAACTTGAGCAGACATTCTGATTGAAGGGACTTTGATGGATACAAAATCATTGTTAAAAATCAGAATCAGTGTTTACACCAACATTTTTTTTGTGCTTTAACCTCAGTCCTGGGTTGTAGTTTAACTGCAGACTTTTCTGCGTGGAGTTTGTCCCCCATCCCCTCCATGTATTTACACCTACAAACCAAAGTCATGCACTCTGGGTGAACTGGAAAGCGAACGCTATTCTGCAATAGACTGATGAGCTGTCTGTGATGTTCCTCTTTGAGTGAAGTAAAGAATATGTGTGTTTCTTGTTTTATTGCCCCAAATAAGGGAGGAGAGCACTTTCTTTTCCCCATATCATGTATAAATGAAGGTTTGACAACAGGCACTAGGACTGATGTTGTAAAATGGGTCAACATCTTCCTCTAGTGGAAATCACACGATAACGCATCAGCTGGCTTTGAGTTCAGTAACCCAAGTTGTTTTCTCTCTACCCCATATTTTCCTTTGAATGTTTTGCCCAACAAATATTTGAACTGCTTTTGGTCGACACTAAAGACAACAGTTTTCTAAACCACATGATCCATTAGTGTTACCACTGTC